AAGTACCCATGTGATCTTTACAATGTGTTTTAAGGGAAACATTGGGCAGATGGTCAGTAGAAAAATTTGAAACAAAAACTTAAAAGCATAAGCGATTTCAGTGGTATTCTTACTTAATTTTCCATTTATTTCAATAGTAGATGAAGGGGGTTTTACACGTTTACTACGTACAAAAGACCAGAAAGTCTTACTGTTGTCGGAGCATCTGTCTGCTAAATTCATAATATACTTAATAAGCAATTCTATTAAATTTTTCTTTTAGTAGGTTTCTATAGTGCCTTGTATTTTATCCATTTGGAAGTTTGCTTATCACAAAGAGCTGATGTATATATCTATTTTTCTTTCTGATTAATTTTATAAGTTCAATAGTAATCCATGGTTTCTTTGGATTCTTTCTAGAATGGTGTTGTGCAATGTTATTATATATACTGGTGAGAAATTGCGTTTGTTTGTTCCAGACACAATTTATATCAGGGGAATCAAAACACTGGTCCCAAGATAACCTAGAAAAAGTTTCAATAAAAGCATTATTGCAGTACACCATGTATGTACTCTAGTTCTAAAAGAAAATTAGGTGTAGCCCCTGGTGTTAAATCAAAAATATACTGTGGCCCGTCATCCTATTTTTATGCCCATCTCTGCAATACACTTCTTTTAGAACACCAAACATGAATGAAATACGAGGAAAAGAGTTAAAATTTAATACATCTATTAACAATATAAAATGAAAGTTATTCTACAATATTCATTGGATGTTGCCTGTTTGGTTTTTAAAATAAAATTACCTGTACAATTTCTCTAATTATCATTACATTGTATCTAATTATATAAATAAATGTATATAAATTATATTGTCTAAACCAGTTATATTTATTAATAATTCTGTCTTTTTATTAATAGCGCTTTCAGTGACGCAGCACTGGTTTCACAAGTGGATTAAATAAACAAAAAAATGAAAGAAAAGTAAATCGGAATGAAAAGAACTAATTTAATTTGGATTAGGCAAAAAACACAACTTTGCAGTGGAAATGATAAAACATATGACAGCCTGGGTTTTGATTAAGTTTTTAAAGGTTGAAAAATCATTACAATTTATTATAAATTACATCTAATCTTATTTTGATTGAGAAGGTGACAAGAAAGCAGTGCAATGGAGTAAAAATGATGAGCTGTAGAGTCAACCTTTTACTCTTTCATCTCTGCCCATTTTCAGCTTCCTTAGAAAATTCACTGGTCTTCATTTTCTGACTTTAACCTGAAAAAGATAAAAAAAACAGTTTTAGCCGTAAGTGATTTATATAAGCTAAAAACTTTTGAGGTTGATTGGATTCAATTTCAACTGTATGCATCATCACTAAATTGCTATCACAACAACAAAAAATAAAAAGGATACAGGTGACAAATGAAACAACCTTAACTGGGCAGACCAGCTAAGATAAGGGCCTAGGCTTAATAATAATAATAATAATAAACTATTAATTAAATTATTGACGTTTTAACAATAAAAATGTACGCTGCCAGGCTCAGTATGCTGCTATGCAGTTAGGAGGATAGCTCAATACAAACATGAGTACTGTATTACGACAGGTAGCTAGGCCTAGGTCTACTTCTTGGTTTACTGACGATCACCGGATTTTGCACAGGTCTGACGCAAAATATAGGTTCAGTAATGGGTGAATATCTCTGATAGCCACAGTTGCTCGCTCAAGAGACTTAGGGCATTTGTAAGTTAAATATCAATCTTTTAATACATCGAAACCGCAATGATGAACAATTGTAGCTTTTGATAATATATAGTCTAGAAAAGTAAGTAATTTGGCACAATGCTACTACACATACTTACAAAAAATGACTTATAATTGCTTGCTTAGTTAAATCTCACTATAGAGTTTGACAGGAAACGCTCCTAAAGCATGTAAAGTGCTTTTAAACCAGTCGGTATGTATTAAATTGCTGTATATTTGTAAAAAAACACAAAAGAGTTTAAAAAAAAAAACAACTGGTTTGAAGTCTAAGTTAAATTTTGTGACGTCGGTGGTGATATTTTCATCCTTTTCGCTTGACTGTCGGTACCGCGCGTGTAGGCACAAAGAACTAGGACAGAGCAGGGGCATTAGACAAGAACAATAGCGAACAATAGGTACCTAATAGTTCAAGATCATTCCATGTAATTTCACTGTTCCTTGGTTCTTTTGCTGTAATTTATTATCATATTTGTTTATATCGTGGTTAAGATAAAATTAATTTGGTTATTTTACGTGCATTTCTTCCACAATTATTATAGTTTGCAGCACATCAACACTTTGGTATAATGTATTGTTTTAAATCCCATTTAATTTCATTCAGGCATGTAATTGGTTCCTATTTTTTTTTGGGTAAAAACCCCTTTGGAGTGAGCCCTTTTTACAAAACCAAACCACCCCTCCAATCCATTCAAAAATTATGATGAAATTTACATTTTGCAGCCTCTGTATTCAATCCCTGTAAACGACTTTAGATACGGTCCGCCAGTAATTCTGATCCAGCCCGCCATTACAATTTGGAAGTACACAATGTTAGACTGACCCTAACAGATTGGCACTGGCCACCTGCTAAAAAAGGTTGAATACCTGGGCTTCTTTCATGCTAGAGTGCTCCAGCTCAAAACGGCATCATCATCTTACCCTTAAAAGATATCTTGCAATCTACTGTAACCGGACCCCTTGAACTTTGACTCTCATATGATATTCTTCTTTAAGGAATTGTGCTTATGGCTTGACATCATTGTTTGTGTTAACATAATTATTATTTTATGCTAAGTTTATTTTGGAAACTACAGTAGATAATTTCTCAAAAAGAAAAGTAAATGGGCGCCATCAAGATTCAAACCAAAGAGCTTTTGGTTGCTATACTAACTGAGCTTTGGGGCCAAACCTAAAATAATTTCCTATCAGGAAATGTTATTTTTTAGTAAAGTGTGCATTACAAAAATATGCATTGAATAGATGAAAAAAAAAATACGTAGTGTATTTCTCTAGGTTTGATGTTTAAGAGTAGGCTTGGTCTTGGTGATGAGTTTTTTTTTTTTTTTTTTGGTGTGTTCTGCATAGATGAAATTACAAATTGTCTTCTTTAAGGCTACACAAACATCAACTTCCTACGTAAATAGTGCATGCATATCAATTATTGTAAAAGATATGAAACAAATTACAATCAAATCTAATTTGCATTTAGATTAATTTTTTGTTTTTCAATATGACTTGATTGCATGCGCTGTTGAGTAATGTTAATATTTCTTTACAATGTTCATAGGAAAACTTAGCATACTCTCAATTTTCAGATGTAATTTTAACGTGTGAACTTAAAGACCATTAACCACGCACATTTCAGACATAAGTTTAACTTGTGAACTTAACGACCATTAACCATGCATTGTGCATCGTAACTTGTAAACCTTGAGTTAGATGGTGGCTATGCTTTGCTGTGTGTTTTAAATGGTTCATTACTATGCTACAGTTGTGTACGGACGGGAGAAGCTGCCACTGTTTTACCGGGTAGCTCAGACATGAAGAGACCCTAGAAGAGAAGCACGTTACTGTAAAAGCTAGTCCACACCTCGAGTGCTTTGAGACCATTTCAGTATAAAGCTCTATACAAATTTAATTACCAGTACATATAATTTTTATAATACATATAATTATTTCTCCAGTGGCAAATCTAGAATGGGGCGGGGGTGGGGGGGGGGGGCCTCTATACAAATTTAATTACCAGGACATATAATTTTTATAATACATATAATTATTTCTCCAGTGGCAAATCTAGAATGGGGCGGGGGTGGGGGGGGGGGGAGGCCACATACAGTAGTGAAACCCAGTTGTTTAGAGGGGAGTTATTTTTTTGTTTCCTGAGGTCCAGAAATGCCCTTTTTCGCAATCTGTTTAAAGTGATGTTTAAAAACTAACTTGAAATCCATATGCTTATCTTTTATTTGGTTGTGAAATTTTATCTATGAAAATTAATCTTAAACTACTGTAGTGTTTATATATTGATAATAATTTATTAAGTCATTATTTGTAGAACAGACCATATGTTTAGAAATTTACACATATGTTACTGTACAGCTACCTATCGTTATATCAGCGAGCTTCATACCGTTTAGACCTCAGAGGCCCGTACAATATCATACGGATCTCAGACCACTAGTCTTTCTTATTTCATACAACTTATTATGGGCTCACACATTGTGGAGCGCACTTTATTTTAAGATACAACACGCTCTAATGACACCAGCCAATTGTAGTGTTATGGGATGTTTGATGTGTTATGTCAGCCATCTTTAAATCCAAAATGGCCATCAAGATGGCGTTGAAAAAATACCCCCTCAAAAAATGGGTTCCAAAAATACCAAAATTTTGCTCTGAACAAAAAAATACTGCAGAGGTTTTCTTTTTTTTAATTGCTTGTTTGTGAGTCGAAAACTGTTTCAATTTCCAGAAAAATTCCTGTGATACATAAAAACTGCAAGCCACAATTTTGATATTAAAACAGGTTTTAATATCAGTTATTTGTTGATGGCAATAATTTTTTTTTTTTGAATTCTGAATAAATTTGATTTGAGTTGATTTCATACTTTATTTATTTCGCACACAGCACATGCACTAAAGAATGTCAATTATAGCAAATGTATAACTTTCCTACAGTACTTGTATAACAATCACATTCACAAGACAAACATACACACGATGCTAATACACAAACTAAATCTCAATTATGAGGTTTAGAGACTGGTTGTTTTGGTTGTGAGAAAAAAATCCTGCAACACTGACAGGAATTGAACCCAGGACTCTGGGATTGGAAGGCAAGTATCTCAACCACCTCCACTCCATTTTTGGGTCTTCAAATTTATGGCTCAACTTTCTTCCCTGTACAGTAGTTGATTTGACAGCATATCTCTTCATCCTGATTGGATATCTAAAATCTGAATATCTCTTACAATAATTTAATCTTTCTATTTTTTGCAGAGGAAGCAATGGAGCGGGATCGGTTCATGACCCCACTGGCTGCTGTCGAGTTTGGTCTGCTGGATAAAGTCCTCGAACACCCTCCCGTCTTACCAGAGGAGGATGACAACAAACCATTAAAATGATGTTTCGTTAATTAATAAAATCCGGTCTTGCAATACGTTTTTTGTAAATAGATAACACTGGTGAGTTGTATCGAAGTACGCTAATGGTTTCAAAGTTCAGTGCTTATGACCATTGCATCTTAAACCCACAGAAATGTAATAATAATGATAATAATTATTATTATAATTATGATTTATTGCAGCAAATTCCAGGATATTAATTGTGAAAATTATGTCCAATAAAAATCATTTTTTGATTTTATCTTGTTTATGGTATTTATTTTGATTTTATAAAATAATTTTTTAAAATGTTTTCTTGTTCATGTTATTCATTCATATTTAAAATGAGAAATGTCTTCGATGATTTCAGTCAATTGAACATTAAACAAATCATTATTACAAGTGTGTCAATGTGCTGATGACATTTAAAATAAATATTGGAAAAGGCCAATAAAGTAGGCATACCAACTAATTGAGAATGACAACCATGCACCATCAAACTGAAGTGAGTTTGACTTTTTTTTTTTTTCGTTGATGAGCTATGCTTCTTCCTATTGTTATTATTCTTCCTACTGTTATTATTTTTTATCTATTTGTTTTATTGTGTGTACGGTGCTATGCAGCAAATTTGATTTGAAAATACATAATATCTCAAATATTTATTATCCTTAATTATCACCAGTGATGCCCATACATGTCTCTATTTTATCTTGTTAGCTTAGAAGAGTTTCGGATCGTTAACTACGTCACATACAGATTGGTTATATTTAAGATGAGGTGAAATTATGTTTCTTGAGAAAGAATGTATGTTAGGTACTGTAGAGATGTAAATTATAGGGTATACTTCATACTTGTTTATCATTAAGTTCTAAACATTAATATGATATTCCACTCAATAAAACGTATATATATATATATATATATATATATATGATTAGAAACATGTTGTAATCATATCAAGCATAGCTCATCAAATATTTCAGTCGTATGAAAAAAGTGCCTCTGGTGGGATTAGCCCTTCAACAAATACAAAGCTCATTTACAGTTGTGGAAAATTCGAAACTTCTGATCTCTCACTGACAAGGCTAGCGCATGGGTATTGTCACAGATTCCATCCAGCCGGATACACTTCAACGCACAACTGATAGGTATATGTCATCACGAATTGAGGAAGCAGCAGAAGAAATGAACTACTGTATCTGTATTAAGATAAATGAAAACATGTAAAATAAAATTCTATATTTTAATTCCTTATGTTAAGTATTGAAAGCGTTTGCTGTTGTAATGAGCTAAACAACTTCAAAATTTTAATTAAATATTTTAAGTTATTTTTTGACCTATTAGTTTTCTCTCATTGGGGGATGGGGGTAGCCCCATTCGGAAAGCGAAAAAAGGAAGAAAAATAAACTACTGACCGTCCAAAACAACTCAGAGGTTATTTCTGGCGTCTACAAATCAAAAATTTTCCGAACCCCGTAGAGTAGTGTTGTCTGTCAATGGCCGCCCCCAACCCCCTTTTTTTTTCAGACATATCTGGATCAGCCCATTTCTATTGAAATTAAAATGAAGAATAAAAAAAAAAAATGGCCCCAATATACAAACTTGTAAATAATATGGTTAGCAGTTAGCTTTCTAATGAACATTATAATATTTCCCTCGCCAATAAGCAGGTGCACAAATACCTAAAATCGACTAGTAATCAAGTTAACTGAAATTAAAACTGAACTGCATCGAACTGTGTATAATTTTCCTATCCAAATAACGTTATTTTAATTGCCAGTCCCTAATATTGTTATCTAAATGCACAATTTGGGCCATACTATGCCATAAAAATTCTCCCCGCGAACTTTACCAGGGATTTTTTTATTTTGGGCCCCTGACCGAAGATCCCCTGTCGCAAATTTCTAGAGCCACCACTGATTCAGATAAGACGTAAATCGTAAAGGGAATTAAGAAATTTGTCATCCAAATCTAGGCGTAATTGCGTGCATCCACGCGCATTATTGTGCACGGTCTCCATTTACAGTGCTTACGCTACATGTGTACGGAAATAGACAAAATACCCCGGAAATTTGTCATATCCTGTCCCGTTTGAAATTCCACGGCTATTAATATCTTGTACCTGTAATTTATGCAAACCATATTTTCCTCTCAAGACAAAATATTAGGTGCAACTACAGATATTTGAAAACTTGATTACTGAAATGCATTTCGCTAACTCCAGAAGTCTGTAAAATTTTCTATTAATATTTGAGGTTTGTTAATATTGACCCTTTTTAAGGATGTAGCCTAATTATTTTACATTCTGTTATTAGGATTATGTTCACGGTCATTAAGTCATATTTCTTTTTTTATGTTTTCCTGACTCATGTTTATTCAAATGTCAAGTACTCAGTACACCTATATGCATCAAATTTATAACGTAAAACTTAACTTCAACAAACAACGCGACCCGTCACAGTTGATTTCTAGTATGCCTCAAGAGCATTAGCACACATGAAGGCGAAGATATTCTTGGTAAATATGATTTTAATGAATTCAACAATCGTATGTTCAATTCCAAAACTATAATCATTGTAATTCCATGCCCTTGGGGAAGGTACACATCGAGTATTCCGTTGTTCTTTTTCTAAGAAGGCATTACTGTATTGATTTATAAAAGATTCTAAGAGGTAATATAGTATAATACATACTCGATGACATGTTATGTCATCACCAGGAATGAATCCTGATGATGACATAATTAACGTCCAAATATTGAATCCCAACACGGTGGCGTGCATTTCAATACTTGGAGTATGTATTATACTATCTTATCTAAGATTAATTAGTGGACCTTTTGGTCTAAGAGATAATGCATCTCTCCTTAATATAATATATTATAATTTATTCGGAAACTATACATTTTTTAAACAGTGGCACACTTCACATAATCAAGGTGCGTCTAAGAAAAATAAAATAAAAGTAAACCTGAAAGAATGGCAAATAAAACTACAGAGACAATAACTGTAAAGAAAACAATGACTTAAATGCAAATTGAATAAACGCACTTAAGTAATTGACAAGCTCACCCCAATCCACAACTCGCCCCATCATAGTATTATTATGAAATGATGCCTTAAATAGAAGCGAGATTCCGATTGAAATGTTCACGCCAATCCTCTGAGTGACCCTTATTGCATAAAAGTAGTAATGTATACAAAAAGAAATCAACAAAACTCAAACTTAAAATTTCAAATGCAGAAATCACAAAGGAAAATGTATTAAACTGGATAACAAATAAATTGAAAATTAAAGATAACTAACATGACCAAAACACCGAACACACTTAAGATCATATACATTTCCTTTATCAATCTCAAAATCAACCCTAATCAACCCAGTCCCCCCCCCCCCCCCCCCAATAGTAAAAAGTGAAAATACTTTAAATCAAAGCAAAATTAAAATAAAGATTTTAATTTCTCCTTTGTTTAGTGTACACTGCAAAAACAGCATGAAAGATTTTAACACATAGCTCCATGCAATAATGTTTGTCCCACTGTTGGTGGTGACCTGTTTAAAAGCTAAACGTGTTTAGGCCTGGTCTACTGTGTTTAGATTGCTGACGTTTTTACCAATAAATATATTTCAGTATTAACTTTGACATCATACCTAATCACATTTTATGCTAAACACTAAACATGTTTAGCTTTTAAACATTTCACCAATGCCAAAACCAGGCAATATTATGGTGAAGAAAGTTACTAAAATTAAATTTTCAATTTAATTAAACGTATGCATTGACCTTATTGCATGAGTAAAAATAAATTCTTCGTTAAATATTAAAACATTCGTAGTCGTGGGATCAGAAAACACCTGTTGGTATTTTACTCAACCAAAACATATTGAAACAGGTGATTGTTAAAAAAAAAAACATATTAAACAATAATTATTTTGATACACTGTGATACTGAGCTCATAATTCTATTATAACCGACTCAATATATTCTAGTTCAGAGTTTTCAAATTAATTTGATTCACTTCGTGGAAAGTCACTTATTATTTTTGTATTTTTTTTCCTATGATGCTAAGTCAAATACTGTAGGTGTTTTACTGAAAATAATTTGTGATCAGACAGACATAAACCTCTTTATTGCCATATCGATTAAATATTTTTTTTTTTATTAGCAAGAACATCGACATCAACATCGGCAAAACATTTTTATACCTTATTCATACACACTTCCCCCTCCTGCAAATCCACTACACAAATAATTCAACAAAATACAGTATAGAATCAAATTATTTAAAAAGAACGCAAATCATTTATTTATCAAAGAAGACTAATTATAAAACAGTTAAAAAGTTGGAATACAATCATAAAAAATACTTAAACTACATTAATTATACAAGAATATTATTCAGAATAAAGTCAAAGCTCTATTAAAATTGTGTCGATTTAGAAGGACGAAAATAATCGTGGCATGTAAACAGTACAAAAAAAAACCTGTCTCTTATACACATCTAGATGTGTATAAGAGACAGAATCCCAACACGGTGGCGTGCATTTCA